TTTAATAGGTATCTTGCTAAGGAGTATTGAAATAATATATTTATAACTCAAGAACGGCTGTATAAATTTGACTGAAAATTGGTAAAGAGACAGTTTAGAACCAGGAAAAGGACATAGGATGCTTTTATCCGATTAAAAAGGAAAAAAAATTTATAAAATTTTAAATGTTTTTATTTACTGCTCTTAAGGAGGAAAAGACTTCGTTCAGTTAGCTATTTATTTTTAAATCCAAAACTAGCGCAGACTTAGTCGCGGGAAAAACTAGTAGGTATAATAATAAAGTCTAACACAGATTAAAAACATTACAGATTATAGAATAATAAAATCAAATAAAAATTGAATATAAAATCATTACAACCTTATCGTATTCTTATCAAAGGAATCTTTTATTTTATTTGAAATGTTTTGGAAACATATTACGTACGTACAATAGGTCGTTAATCGATGTTTAGTTTGTAATGTTGGTAAAAAGACATGTTTGATAAGGCACGTGGCGGAGACGTGGTTTGCCTACTTGTGTTTACGATCTTTAAAAAATCATTGATTACCTTAAAAAAATATTAATTAAACTGTTGATAGCAATATATGTTCGTGTGATAAGAATGCCTACTAATATTATAAATGCGAAAGTCTGTCTGTCTGTTACGTTTCCACGCCTAAACCACTGAACTGATTTTAATGACATTTGGTACAGACATAGAGTTGACCTTGAGAAAGAACATAGGATAGTTTTTATCCCAGACTTTTGAAAGGATCTCCTGGAAACGCGACCTTCACGCGGGCGAAGCTGCGGGCGGAAAGCTAGTTATATATTTTGTATAAGAAATTTATATATATAATACTGAATAAAACCGGATTTAATGTTTCTATCTTTTGTGTATTTTGGAAACTTTTATTTAATGTTATTTTCGTTTAATATGCAATAAAAAGATACTTATTTTGTTATTTGTCAAGTTATTAAAGATACTATGCCCAGAATTGTAGTTATATGAACGATATATTTAAATACATGATAGCAATGAACAAAGTTTCACAAAAAAGCCCTATCTGCTGTGTCATGACATCCTGTCAGTCACTCCCGTATAGGTCATTAACATAAGCTGTTAGCTTTTTTTATTATTTGTACCAGGACATTCGTTTGAAATAAGCCTTTTCTCGATTATAATAAAATTAGGTATACTTATTCTCTTTTTAATATATAAAACTGCTTAAAGAGGGTCTCAGTTCAAGTTTAATTTTATAAGAATTATTCATTTCATATTTTTCTAATTTAAATTGAATAATTTGTTCAATCTTTAATACTCAACACATAATCGCGGGTATATATGATTATTGGATATTACCTAAAATGTTTAAACTATTCGTAATATTTAATATTGCTTATGTTACTTAAATAGAATTTAGTTTCTTAGAACAAAGTGAATCTTCTTATAAAGATATTTTCTATATTTAACGACTTCTAAGGTATTTTTTTCACAATTAGTATATAATTATGTGAATATTATTCTTCGATCAGTATGCTTATTTTTGTTTGCATCGTAACACTACTTACGGAACGTTAGAAGTATTTCATTCATAAATTTTGGCACGTATTAACGTTGGTTATTGTATGAGAAACGGGAGACGCGACGTATGTAGTATGACGATGGAAATTTAGTATAAAAAGTATACACTAGACTTATAAGTATATCATGTACTTATAGATTTTAAATATGTAACTGTTAATATATTATCCAAAAGCTATGTAAATTTTTTACTTATATTTTTCTATGATGTTTATATTTAATATAATTTAATACTGAATAAAAGGTGTATAATATCTGTTTATATTTCACTCAGAATACTTAAATAATAATATCAAACATATGAGAATTGATACAGAACAAACATTATAAATGATGATAATTTGTGCTGCTTTTTGGAATCTTTTTTCTTATTGGAAAATATTTCGAAACCCGGCAAATACCAATGTAATTTTTCCAAGCCATATGTATTTTCTAAGAGTATTTAGACACCACTGACAGATGAAGGAAAACATCGAGAGAAAACCTGGACTTATAATTACCAACTATAAGTTTAAAATCACCAACCCGTCTTGAGCAAGAGTGGTAATTAATGCTCTCCATGTGAGAAGAGGACTTTGCTCAGCAGTGGGCTCTGATAGGCTGATGATGGTAATGATTTCTTGTAAGTAAATTGTATTGTTGACATCTCATTTTTCCGTGATCACGGTTGCTGAAAAGTACAGAACATCGGGAGTATGTAGTTTTTATAAAGTAATCCGAAAAATATTAGTAGGTATAATTTAATGAACATGTATAGGTAATATAATGTATATGGGTTCTAAAAAAAATATTTTTATCCCCCGATAAGTATTTGTGGGTTTAATTAATCTGATACTTTTTGATTATGCAAAGTATAGGTCACGTATCGGCGCTATCTTCAAAGGCGAATCAAGTATAGGCGCGTGCGCATTCATAATATGCGAGTTACATAGTGAAAGATAAGCTTTTAAAAAAGATTACGTACTATATATTGAAAATGGTTATTTTGTAAATTATTTACTTAATCACTGAAAACGATTTGAAGAGTGAACAGACTAAAATGAAATTTAATTTAATCATTGTATATTAGAATTATAAAGTCAGTTTACTAAAGAATTAATTTTCACGAAAGTTTGAAAAACATTGAATTTAGAGAAACCTTTTTTGGTGCTCGTTTAAATGTTTATGTTTAAATATTAATATTGAACGAATATTTACAAAAACTACTAAGCTAAATAAATATAAGTTCAGTTCTCAGTTAAGGATTCATGGTTAAATTACATTAAGACGAAAAATAATTCTCGAATAATATATATATAAGATATACTATATAGTTTGACATAGCATTCAGTGTAGAACAGTTTCCAAACACAAAGTTGTATATTTATGGTGCCATTACCAATCGTTGTTTCATTAAATACTATTTATATTAAAACAAATTTATTTAAACATGCAATAAGCGAATGTCAGTTAATATGTAATAAAATATTTAATTTTGAAAGTTTAATTTTGAAAAAAAAACAAAAAATTCTTTAATTTGTTTTTTGGTTTTGAGGATGAAAAAGGTTTTATATTATCGCTTGTAAGACTGTGTCAAAATGTTAAAATATTTTCATTTTTTTTTTGGTGTTTTTCTTTTAAATAAAACATGTTTATTTCATAAGCGTTGGGACGTTCATTTCCTCGACGTAATTTATGAGTACACTCCCCTTCACACTTACATGGTTGAGATCATAAAATGCGTAAAATTTACAATGAAGCAATTTTGTATTTCACGTACATATATTTTTCTTTATAAGTCTCGTTTTGTAAAACGTAATGTCATTACTATGTAAAAAAGATCTAAGATTCGTTTTATAATTAGGTACAAAAACAAAATGTTTCATTTAAAATCATTTTTGAATAAAAATAAATGATTGAGACTAATAAAACGATTTGCATTGATGATATAAACGCGATAATCAATGATGGATCTCACTACCGAAATATCGTATTCATATAGCACAGTTTTTTTTACAAAGATAGCAATATTTCGCGATGTGGTCGCTTCACCAATACTGGGCGTGTGGCGGCGAGGAACATAATTACAGATGATCCGGTCTCAGGGCGATGTGGACCAAAATTATTTAGTAATTTTAATTTTATTTGTACTTAGGGGCGTTAATAACTCTTTCGCACACAGAGAGCGGTCATGATAAATGTTTTATTGTAACTAATTATTACGTTGTATTCGTATTCATATAGAATAATGATGGATGAATATTTATTTGATTGTATTATAAAATATGAATAAATGAAATACAGAATATTTAGAATATAATTTTTTATTTCATTTTTTTTATTTATTTGTTTATCGTAAATTTTCTTACAAACAGGAAGGACCTAGTTTTCGCGGTGCGAGTGTCTTTTTCGTTTAATATCTATTGTATTTTAAACTAAACAATATTATAATTAACAATTTAGTACAAATCATATTAGCTATGAGATATTTTCATTATATGCTCTTACATTTTATACAGATATTTTTTTTTGTTAATAACAACGCTAATAGTTTATAAAAAACATATTGCTTAATCTATATCTACAGGCTTACTGGAAGAGCTATTTTTTATTAAAATTTGACATTCATATAATAATATACAAAAATAGTTACAAATAAATAATATTTATTAGGAAGTTAGAAGTCTTGATGGATGTCCCACTAATGAACACACAACCGTCTTTTACATTACTCAGCACCAATTACATGGTACACTATATATATGTATATCTCAATATTAACACTTAGGAATTAATCTAAATGATGTATGGAAAAACATATATTTTTTTTCACATCATCGATGGTTCCTATTTCGTAATAAAAAAATATCGATCAAAATATCTTTCATTAAATTTATTTAAAAACTATTGCCACACATCCGTCGTCTACAATATTAACAATATAACATAACATAATTAGGCAAAAATATTCGAAAATATATAAAAAAAATTCTCCGTACATACATACATACTCCAACAAGATGTTAATATTTTTTTTTATATCAAATCGAATTATACAAATCACAGGTCGACTATCAACATCACATAACAGAGCCTAATAAATGTTTACAATTAATAATATTTTATATAAAAAAAAAACACTCAACAATATACGTCACCTACATAATTTGATCGTCTATATTCATCGAGTTAGGTACGACAATGAAATTGATATTATAACTCTTTGGATTCAAAAGAGTTCTTATGCTAAAGCGGCGCCAAATTGGTGGGATGGTACCGGGAAATCTAATAAAATAATAAAAAAAATATGTCAAATTACGTAAAGTAAATGACGGAAATTTATTCCAGCTGAGATGGTAAAATTTGCTTTGTTTTAATTGAACCTACATCAGGGTTAAATTTTGCAAAAAACCGGTCGTATTGATGTAAAAAATCGGTAGCGCCGTTCTATCATTGTCAATTGCTGTAACATGTCTGTCTGACGCCGGCTAGTATGACGCTGAACTCATCATCAGGTCGTGGGGTCAGCTCTGTTCCTGGAGGTGTGGAGTAATTCGCTGCCGGTGGAGCCCCGGAGATGACAGAAGCATATGGTGAAGGGTACATTCTATCAGAACAGTACTCTGTATTTTGAGTCTGTTCGCAGTACTGCTGCCTGTATTGCTGTTGTTGCTGTTCGTATCTGTATTGCTCCATCGCTCCTTCTGCTCCATAGTCCAAATATTTATCAAATTCTCTAGCATCTACATCTGATTCTGGTGAACCAGTTCTTATTTCTGGTCGTTGGTTGATTATTTCGGTTTCTTGAGGTTGGTTCGGTGGTTCCTCTGCGAAGTATTGATTACCCGGGTTGTATTCCTCGTACTCGGTTTTCGGTTGTTCAGGATAGTGTGTGACGTATGAGTCTTCAGTTTTGTACATCTGTTCGTAATGATCGTATGGGTGGTACTGGATGTTGTATTCGGTGTTGAGAGGTCCGCTTGGCGCTGATGAGACTCTTGGCGCGGTTGAACCAAGCGCCTGCTGGTCTTGGGATGTCGCGACCGGCGGGAAGAATGTTCCCGTGACGAGCGGCGGCTGTTCAGCCAAAGTCCTACACATCACGTACATCCCATTAGCCATGCCCATAGCGGCGACCGGCGCCGGGGAGTACGACCCTGGGTTTCTGAATGTTTTGTATGAATACGAATCGTTCATAGATGAAGCGTTGATCGCTCTTCGTCTGTCCTCATACTGGAAATTCTCCTTTTCATTTTCAACCGGAGAAGCATCGGGAGTGGGGAGTGGTGCTTCAGCGGGGGCGCTCCTCCTGCCTTGGGGTTCAGGCGACCTCGCGGGCGAGGATTCCGGTGTTTGAACATGGCCGTTGAACTGACTGGTCTGGTAGTCAGACGCGAGTGGAGAGGTGCGGTAAGGAGAGAAGCCAGCTCCAGGATTGTGGCTAAAACGTGTGTCAGGTGAATCTGTGGCTGTGGCGTACGGAGAGCCGAGCGTGGCGGAGGCCGGGGGCGGAGCGCTAGACGGCGTGGAGGGCTGGTTGGGCCTCGCCTTGTTCTGTTTCCGTCTGCGCGGCCGGTACTTGTAGTTGGGATGTTCCGTCATATGAATGACCCGAAGCCGCTCCGCTTCCTCCACGAACGGCCGCCGGTCTTGTGGGGTCAATGAACGCCATTTTTTACCTGAAAATAAAAATCACATTAGTACTTGTGGTATACAATTCATATAGATAATACGAGAGGAATGGAATTTTTATATATGGTATAACGTTTGGTTTAAAAGAATAATGTTATGACAAATGACATGACTATGATAATAAAAACTAATAAAACCATCAGCTATTAATATTTGCCAACATCCAGATAACATTCCGAAGCGTAACATTACAGGAATTTTATGAATGCAAAATAGACACGAGCTGTCACAAAGTAAGACTGAAATAATCACGATAGTGTTTATCAAATAACTATAAAACACCTACAGCGAGTGTCTCATAAATAACAGTACGAAAGCAACAGCCAGTTTATTAATACACATAGAAAATTAAATTCTAAATATATATAAATAAAGTTTATTTTCCACTGGTCAAAAAACTTAAAGTTGGCGGAGGCATTATCGGGAGCTTTAACAATCTTTAAGGATATTTATCAATGAGACGCTACTTGCTACTGCATACTTAGAGAGGCGAGTTGTCGATAAAAAGGTCGATAGTACGACATTTGATTAAGCAGAGCTATTTATTATGGATAAAAAATGTATAATTATATAAAAAAAGACATATATGTACAGTTTTTAAAGTAACCGATAACAATTATTTAGCAAAACACATACAACTATATTTATTTATATGTTAGAAAAAAACATGTGTCAACAAAATATTTGTATTTTATATTGAATTATATTTAATATATAGTAAAGTTATCCTTTAAAAATATCGTAAGTGATGCAATTGCCTTTAGATATTAAAACGATGCAACAAAAAACGTAAAGCCAGGTACCATCTTGAACCTGTTTGAGGGATGTCAAATGCCAACTTGACAAATGACTCGGGGGCTTCCTGTAGTGATGTGCTTTCCATTAGCTCCGATATCGATGTTTTCTTTATCGATAATGGCTGAATATTATAATGATTTATCGATCCAAATAGACGCTATCATCATTTAAGTTTCATATTTATTATGTTTCTTTTGCATATCTCTGAATTATATATTTTTTTGTTTTTTTACGGAAAGTATATTAAGTTATTTATTCAATTATAGTTCATTTATTATAGTTATAAAGTTAGATGAAAACAATCGTTCATCATTAATGATGAATCATTAATATGGGTTTTTAAATGTATTTAGTTTCAATGGTTTATTTAAATAATCTCTTAACACATCGTAGGACCACCGGTAGCGTTGTAACCTAATGCCATTATCTACATATTGTATTGTCATTGATAGAATGTAAGTACAAGAAAGAGGTATTCGGGAGAAATAATACTATATGTTCAAACAGATTCACCTGCGTTAACATATATACATATATATAGCGGGCATTTTACTTAATATTAGGGGCAAAAAATTGGTAGATATTCTAAGAAAATGACAAAAGCTTATCGTTTAGTTATTAATGGCGTCATTAACTCGAGGGTGGTAAGGATTCACAACTTAATGACAGATATACGTCATACTGACAAGCTGTCAAAATGGATACGTTCAGAAATGTTGGTAAATAATAGAAATAGAAATGTCACTTGGTAAAATATAAATGTGTATAAAAAAAATTATAAATTATATTAAGATGATTAAAAATATATGTCATATTATAGATAATTATAATATTTTTTGTCATAAAAGACCTGGTCAGAAATAAAAGGAATGATTTAATGATAAAACTAATAGTTCCAATCAATCAAACGTGTTACGAGACGCGGTGGTCCGTGCATATCATTAATTAGTTCAGAATCATTAATGATGAAAACAATGATATGATATATATATACATATATATTCATTATAACTTTAATATATTAGAACGATGTAATAGTGTCACATGTAGCCGATAGATGGCGGTTATTTTTTGCCGCGGCGGATGTCCAGCGCACGCGCTGCATTCTAAATTCGAAATTTCTGCCATTCCTTTCTATCTGGAACGCAATATATACCCGTCTCTGTCACGCGACATTTTTTTGCATTTCGACTCGAGCTTGCTTCTTTTTTTTATGTTTTCTTATACCATTGCGGTGGCAGTGATGTTTTATATTATTTTTAAATTATAAAAACGTAAGCAATAAAATAAACGGACGGAGTTATTAATCTATGGTTGGCGAGTTATTTCGATATTAATGCATATACAAAGATATTGTATCCAAAATATTGATATTAATATTCATTATTGTTTGTTTTTATATCTCATATACATATATATAAATTGAATTCACAGATTCACAAGTTTATGAATTGTAAAATGTATGTTTAAAATTTATTATGTGGCTTAATAAAAAATATCTACATTCGCGAGCTCGGTGTTAAAACTGTCATAAAATATAAAACCTTAGCACATTCTTAACGCATTGAAAACGTTAGAATATCCAAAGTATTACTAAACAGTAGTGCCAACATTTTAAATTTACAGTGTACCATAAACGACTCATTCTTTATATATGTATTTTTTATCTGTGCATTCCACTGAATGGTCAGAAACAAAATTGTCGAGCTGCCGAAATCCATAAAGAAAGCTTTATTCGGAGGCTTATATCGGTACGAAAACACAGCCTGTGGTTTAAGTCAGAAAAGTTGACAGATATTTTTAAAATTATTTTTTATATATAAAAAATTATTAAATTTCAAACACGATAAATATGTATAAAATTTTTGATATTTCATCATAAATCTTCGATACATTGTTATGTTGTAATAAATTAATAAGGTCCATTATAATGTATGGCAAATCATTTTCAAGTATTGTACCACCCAGGTACACTAGCGCAGCCTGTAATATCTCTTCAACAGCCTGGAGCGTGTATTGTACTCCAAGCCCTAGGGCCTAGGCCCATTGCCTGTTTTATGTAAAGGGCTGTCTAAAACTAAAGTATGTATTGTAAGAGAATTGTTTGTAACTTCAATGTTTTTTTGCTACTTACATTTTGTTACAAAAAAATTACAAAAGCTTCTATGTAGAAGCATTTCGAATGTTCCAAATTTATATTATTTTTTTTAAAATGAAATCATTTTAGATTGAACGGATAAAGACGATATAAGTTTTATGTAAAAAATTATTAAACCGTTTCTTATGAAACTACAATATAGATAAGACCATATATATGAGAATAAATTCAATGAAATTTAATAATATTTTGTAAGATATATCAGTATTTCTCCTAATTTGACTGCATTTCTGTTACTGGTACTGCCGATTGGTAATATGTCCATCTCTCTCTAACATATACCTATAATATATATGTATCTCTGTCACTCATGTTAAGATTCTAACAGCGTACGAGCCAGCCGCGCGTGCGACGTCGTGGCTTTAACAATTACAAGTAAAAATATAAAGTCATCTGATTCATAAATATAGAAATATAATGTTTTTAAAACATTCGTTTAGAATCAATTCAAATATACAATAATTTGGTATATATGTTGTATATCTATATAAAATAATAACGCCTTGATTTCAATAATTTAGACGATATTTTTTGATGCAAGAAGTTTCATTGATAATTTTATTCATATTATCAATAATAATTCATCAATTTATCATTAATTCTATTCTATACAATTGTTTTAGCTACATCTCATTATAGTCGGTATTATTCCCGCCGCGTGGGTCACGTCGCGAGCACGCGCCTACAACCAGCTCCCTTTCACTACGTTTTGATAACAATTAATCACAATTATCAAAATTATTTAGAAATATCAATGGAAATATTATAATTATCATTATCAATATATTAATATTAACTAAAAATATCTTTTAATTATAATTTATAATATATATAAAAATTAAATTAAATTAGATTTTCATTTAATGTTATTCGTGTGAAGATATAATCATTATATACAATAGTTATCATTATATATGAAAGTGTACACGTCATTTTAATCGTACGATAATCGCGTGCAATGGAAACAGCCGCATAGCAGCACGAACGACTTCTGTAACGTTATTATTATTATAACTATTATATGCCCATATGGTGATAATGGATTCAAATTAAATACATATAAATATATGAAAAAAATCGATATTAATTTATAATAAAAAGATTCGTATATACAGCCTTCATACTACTACTATATAATCAATTCTAACATATATATGTATATATAATATAGTTTGAAGAACATGTTAAATTAAACAATTCATATTGCACCAACAAAATTTATTATGACAAAGAAAATTTAAGCACGCGTTGATGTCTTTTATATGGTTCTAATGATAACAAAATTATCATTATCATCATTATCATATTTATATATATATTTAGGTAACGTATAAAAATCTACGTTCCCGTAGTATCCTTGAGACGTGTGGATCATTATTCGCCGTATGTCCGTTCTGGGAAGCGGTGTAGACAAAGGACGTATTAGAATTCGTTGCGTGACAACCCTGCATAGTTTGATAAATCTATGAGTTTGATAATGATGAATAAAAAATGAAAAAATATCATTTATGATAACCGTTATAAGATCGGAGATTATTATTAATTATATATTTATAGGGATTTTTAATAGAAATCATATATAATTTTGAAATAAAAAAATCACTTAAGTTTTCTTTTCAAGTCAGGTTAAAATAGTGAGCGGATTTTAAATCCAGGTTAATTATTTGGTTAAAATTAAAGTTTCACCATGTTAACAATACGAATTTAACCTATTAAGAGAATTCTTTTAAATTTATTACATTAAACATATATAAAGTGATTTTGCAAATTGCTTTTATTTTATATAATTTGCATTTTTATTACTTTTTTTTTTGAAAGTTTCCCACGAGTGATAATAATGTTGCTTGAATATATATTAAAAATAAAATTATTATAAAATTTAATTAATTTAGTTTATATTACTAAATTAAAATTATAAATGTAAATTATCAAATAAATAAGGTTTTATTTGGTTTTAATATTCAGAATGTTTGAAGGCTTTAGGACCACGAATAAGGAAAAAAATGATTGATAATATATGTATGTATGTAT